GTGCTTTATCCTGTATCCTGGGGTGACCCTGGTAAATGCATTATGCATACAGCTCCCTCTCACATCCAGCTTCTTTTATACCTGTCATCTTGGCCTCGTGTCTTCTTTTCATCACCGCGTGATTTTTGTGCCTCTCTCCCTTTCCCTCTCTGTTTGCCCATCTCACTACATTTGTAATCAAGAAAAGCACTGTCTGACACTTCCACACCTCACTGACCCTAGTCTGTTGACTGCTTCTCTTTACTTCCTCCCAGCTTTCTTCCATCTCTCTTTCAAAGCAATAATCAGTGCAGTGTAGTGTGCGCTGCCTATTCGATCTCCCACCCTCTCTCTGCTCCTATGCCTTTTCCTATTACTCCCCCTGCTTTTACATTGTCTTCCCTCGTCATCCTCCTCTTCCTTCTTTGTCAATCTGCCACAAACCAAGTAACGGCACTTTCCATGCCTCCAACTCCCACTCTGCTTGTCCTTTCCCTTCGTCTCCCTCAAAATCTCTCTTGGTATCTCTTTCTCCCAGAGAAATGGCAAAGCATTGGCTCTGTGGTTAATTTGTTTGTCTTCATGCCGTCTCTTTGTTTATGCAGTAAGCCGCGACGTGCGTACATACCCATGCATTTTAAAAGTCATACATATTCACACACGGTTATGCAGCTGAATGATGACACATATTAAAATGGTCCTCATGTTTATTTGACACTGCATTTACTGCCTTCTCTTGTGCATCATGCTTGGATTTAATTGATAAAATATTTAGTAACAAATGGCAGACGCTCTGCTCAGAGGTTATACGTTAACTGTGTAGACAGTCGAACCCTACACACTCACAGCTGAACCCAGACAAACGGGTGAGCACAGGCATTAAATGCATCCAACCTGTTACATCGACCTTTGTATTTGGGTTTTTTCTCCCACAATGTTATTGTGTCTTCGTCTCATCAGCCTCTGGTGTGTGTGTGTTACAACTGTTTATGTGTGTCAGTCTACAAAATGTGTGTATAGATTAATGAAAGCAGAAGTATGCGTCTGTCTGTTTGTATCCTCTGTTAGTGATTTTTGTGCTGCTAATGAGCTGAATATTGATGGCAGTTCGTCACTACCAAGCAGCCATCTGTATGAGTGATCTATGGACATGTGTGTTCTCATGGGTGCCTAAAAGGGGGGAACAAGTGAAGCAAACGAATCCACACTATTCAATTATGGAAAAAGCTTGTCATCCTTTGTGTTCTAATTATAGATTTATTGTCATACGGTTGCGTGTGTGTCGGATTTATTTACAAGGATCTGTGTACAAAAGGAACAAGGGGTGAGCAGATGAATGCTTGAACTTAAAGCATTTAGGCTGTGATAAAGGGAAGATTTGTGTCTGATTCTCAGTTTACTATTGAATAAAACTAATTGCAAAGTTAATCTCCTAAGATTGAATGTTTATTATTTCAGACTAATTCAAAGTCATTTAGACTTTCAGACCATTTTTTCCTTAATTGTCTTTAGAGTACCAGGGGCATTAGTTTGATCATACAGCAGCTGAAGCTGGTTGTTTGCTTGCTATTGAAGTCGCAGGCTGGCTTGAGTTAGAGCACCTCTCTCCAGGTTGGGCAGTCATCATTGGGACTTTTACTGGGAATGAAGCACATCTGCAGATTTCAATTTGTAGGGGTCTTTTAGACAGTCTGGCTGGAGTCGACTGAGCAGGTTCTGCAGGACAGAGCCAGATGATGTTGGCACACAGCAGGAAGCAGCAGCTGCTGTTGACTTAGACTCTGAATTGTTTTGCTTGAACTACACCAGGCTTCAGAATTTGTGGCGTAACTATGTAACTTATTCCAAAATACACAAAAGATTTAGGTGCCACATTAAACAAAAAATAAACTAGATGAAGAAATCTTGATTAACTTAAACCTGGTAAGTGCAAAGTCCAAATAAAGTAAATTGTGTGAATAAAATGCTTTAAAGTAGTTGAAGAAAATGGTATTACTATGGGAAGAAGGCAAGCTGGCTAAAATATTCAACAGTAAAAGGGAGAGAGTACGAAGTAGGAGCTAAGATAACAAAATAATAATATGATATAAGAGAGGGAGCAAGTCGGTCGTGATCAATTGTTTTATCACACTGGTCTGGTTGAAGTGTGTTTCAGGGGTTTTGCACTGTTGTTGGACTTGACACCCTAAATCCTTTAAGAAATATCTTTTTTTTCTATTATTAGTTTAATTCTGTTTAGAATAAACCACAGTGTTGACCAAAGAAACTGAAAGGCCATTGACATAGTGTAATTCAGTCATTGTGTTACTTACTGACTGAATAATGTGTCTTGCATCTCTAAACAATCACATCTGCATAAGATATGATACAATAAACTGATTGTGAAATCTTTTTAACATACTGGAAAGTATTAGAATGTTCAGGTCTGTAATGGTTTGGTGTACTGGGATACTGTGTTCAGCTGTAGACCATTTAATAATTTGTGAGCTTCTGTTCCTTACAAATAAATATCGAGGGACAACAGAAGAGCAATCAAATCATCATAGTTTTGTCAATGTGGAAATGAGTTTCCTCAGATACGACAGACCATCGGCCTTTTTTTGCACACAGCTTCGGTTTATCTTATTCCAAGATTATAAGACTGAACACCTTCCACAGCCTTTCACTTGACATGACCTCTTGTGCATGAGTAAATTTTTTAAAGTCGCTGATGATATGTTTTGTTTTGGATATGTTTAATTAAAGATGGACCATCATGGGCCATGGGTGGTCTCGTTATCCTGAAGCTGTCTAACAATAACAGTCATGTGCATACTTTTAAAATGGTCCCGTTTTCATACCTCTTAGGCAAGCAAATGGTTACAGATGCCAAATTAACCGCTTTTATAGGAAAATTAGCATTTTCTTCAGTAAAGTAAATGCAGGTTTATGGCAGCGGGGTGAGAGAGAGGGGTGTGTGTGAGAGTGAGACAAAGACGTGTGGAACATCTTCAAAACATCTTCAGAATTGTTGAAGATGTTTTCAAGAACTGTAGAAATGACACACAAGATTCTCTTGTATTGAATTGTTCATTCTCGTTGAATATGACGCCGCTAAGATGTTCTTAGTTCTTTAAATGTCTTGCAAGAAACAGTGTCATTGTTCAACTCTTATTGCAGATTATCTTCATCCCCCCAAATTCCACTGAGACTCATATTCGGCGTGTGTAAACCTGTCCACTTGCTGACACTTTAAGTTTCCCTCAGACCCGTTTTGTGAAATGTTAGCTTGTAAGATGATGTTTTGACCTTTCATTATCTCCTTATTTCAGCTTATAACTCAGTCACGTATAATTTGTTTATTTTTAAACAATATCAAGTGTCACACCGTGTTTGGGAACTAATTCAAACCAGTTTAAAAAATCATTTTGAATCACTATTTGAGTTGATTAGGTCAAAGCCTTAGTAGTCACACATCATTCTTTGGCGGTCACAGTCTGTTAATCCCCTGCAGTGTGACAGAAGTGAGAAATGTGCCATTTAGCATAATTGCAATTAAGACTTGGAAAAAGAGCAGGCAGGCTTAACACATGCATTAACTGTGGCCTACCAGACTTTAGGTTAGCTGAGATTACAATTCTACTGTTGGCTAAATACTAAACCAGTCAAGTCAGTGTTAGCCGAGTTTGCCCGCCCACCTGATGTTACCTTCATGGAGGAAAAAGAAGTAACCCTCCTGCTCTAAGTAGACATTAGCCTGATGAGTTTAAGATCTCTAGTTTGCTCACTGAGTCTTATTTAATAAAACATGATGTGAATTATGTGCATTGTGGTTACATTCATGTCAGAAGTTATGATAAAGGAGGTTATGTTTTGGGGTCATAGCCCTTACCCATGACCTCCGGTTCCAAAAAGCTAAGAGC